CAGACCTCCTTCTACAAATAAATATGCTTTTATCTTAAGCATTCCATTGTAGCCATAGCTGTATGTTTACATCCCATATTTACCTTCCCTTTCCATGACGCAGAAGAGTATTCCAAGAACATAAGCCTGCCATTACTATGGCTTAATTAGAAACCCACAATTTTTTGCTTGCTGGCAAAAAAAGCTGGGCTTTCGTCGTTTCTTATGTCTTGTAGTGACCTGCAAGTCGAACAGCTTATTGCCACTGATCATAAGGACAACTTTTGTTCAGTGAACAATTCATAAAATACAACCTCTTCCACCCGAGCAGAGGTCCTCTGCAGCTTCTCCAGAGTTTTTGGGCTATTGGCGGCTTCTTTGACTGATAGCGTTCTTACACATGTTAGTCAGTGTGTATTGCCATGTCTTGAAGAGATGCATTTGTGCCATTCACTTACCATTTAGTTAATTAAACAGTATCCTCCTATTAGATGTTGGAGGTTTATAATTTTGTGTTGCCTTATATATGTTTACCAAAAAAGGTCCAAATAACATGCACAAATTTGTGTTTGTAACATGTTCATATGTAAAGAAGTTTAATGGGGTATATCTACCATTAATTAAAGTCATTATTGTATATTCAATTGCTCCTGAAAGTGTCATACATGCATAATTATATTTTTCCAGTAACACTACAGTAACATGCATATGTAAGGAAAGCTGTTTATAGCAATTTCTTATTCCTGAAAACATTTCAACATTCAGTTTTAATTTTTAAGCTAACTCTTCCTGATGTGTTTACATATATGTCCAAATGCTTTTTTCTTCCAACATGCGCCTGTCACATCATCTCTGCAGGATTGTTGAGGTGTATTCTTTAATGTCTCAGTCAGACCCTCTGGAGCCTTGCAGGAACACCAGAATGTAAACAGAACCCTTCCCCTACGCTCAGCTTTGTTTTAACTAAATCAGGGCTCCTGTTTCCAATTATCTGTAGCACTCCTTAAACATACCATGCTGCAAAAATTCACATAAATACAATAAAAGAAACTCACGATCGTCTTCTTCTGTAGAAATGAGGAGCATTTTCACTATTGTCATTTGTTTTATTGTGTTTTCTCTGCCTTCTCTGTGTTGTCCAAAGGCACAGCAGAACAAAGACTTATGTTCATTTTTTTTTTCTTTTTCATTATAATTTTTTTCTAGTTATGCAGCTTCAAAAGGGCTGTGCTTTAAAGTGCAAGATCAATGCTTTATTTGGGCTCCATTATTCCACAACATGACTTCATGTAACGGCTGCCCCAGAAACACAAAAGAACATTTTTCTTGTTTTGGTTATTTGAGATTAAGATCAATTTTCAGTCTTTAGAGCAGTGAAAAGGGGGATGAATGATAAATGGATTTGCGTAGGAGTGAGGGGGAAACCTTAGCTTTATTTAATTGAGTCTGTGTTTTGGATTTGTGTACTCTTGAAAGGTCAGAGATCTAAAGAAAAAAACAGACTGTCACTTCATTTAAGATGCATGTTTGGATATTACACTCCTGGCTCAGATATTACCTGCAGTGTATTTTTGTTTTCTTTTATTTCTCCCCCTTTGTAAACCTTATGTTAGTTTTTTGTCTCCCCCTTTTAACCTCTTTTCCATTACTGCATACCATGTCTTTTATCTTAACTACAGTACCGTCGGCAACACCCCCACATCCACCCTCACCTCTGTTTCTCACCAATCGTTCTGTTTTACGTTCGCAGGGTAATCACTCCCATCGGTGTCAGTGGGGCGCAGGGTTATTGTCTCCTGTAATTAACTGGTTATCAAACAAGAACAATTCATTAAGGTACAATTAGGGGGCTAATTCAGATGGGACACCTCTGTGCCGGGATTACTTTGGAGGCATATGCTATCCCCCCTAGCAGCTTTGTTATTTTTAATTCATAGTGACCGACAGTCTTTGACAGCTTTAACCAGTAATGAATCCGCTCACTTCAGAATAATTAGACATCCTTAGGCATAGTAATTTGCCTAAAAGTATCTTTCTCTGTGTAGATCATTAGTTGTGTTAAATTAATTCTAAATCAAGACTGTTGGGAGTAGTTTAGGTTAATAAATGCAAAGCAATTGAGTCTATAAGATGTGCGTAGTCACTTAAAGATTTATTCTGGGAGCTGTTCTTCTTATGATTATTGACTGTAGTTTCAAGTTCGGAGACTTGCTTCATAGAGTGTTGACATTACAGCCACAAAGGTTTTTGTTATAACACAACACAAACCACTGCATATCAGTAAAGTGGAAGGTAAATGACACCTGGGATTCAACATTTTTATCAGAAACAGCTAAAAAGTGTGGCATGCATTTGTCTTTCCCTCAGAACTTATGTAAAAACACTGCAGCAAGTCAAACTTAATCTTTGCATGAATCTCAAGTTATTTTATAGCCACCAAAAAACCTGTTTAAGCCCGGGAAAAATCAGCCTTTAGTGGCAATGGGAACAGCTCACTAACGAGTCTACCCGGGTCAAGCGACTCGGCAAGCAACCCACGTTAAAATCACCTAAGTTGCGATCAGCATGCTTTGGGAACAACAGACCCAGGTTGACCTGCTAAATTACACGATGACTTTCAGTGCAGCGTATGTACGTCACAACATTCTGGTCACGCTGGTTGCTTATTAAATAACAAGTCCGAACAACTCTGCTTGTAATCGAGAATCATGGCACAGCACTGGCAAGATAGAGAGATATGTGAGCTCCTAATAATCTTAGGAGAAGTGGAGATTTGTTTAAATGTACTGTTCTGAGGACAGACAGCAGAGCGAAACAATAGAGAATACTTGGATACGCTCTGGCTTCCATCCATGTTGCTCTCCATTATTTACTTCACAGATTTCAGCAACATCAGCAACGCACACCCAGCATAATGCCGTCTTCAAACACGCAGTGTTGGGGGACCGAGGCAACGCAGCTTGCCAGCAGGGTGTCAGACCCAGCTTTTAGGTTGAATGGAAAAATAGCCAAAATCCGATTGTTAGCGGGTCAACCCGGTTTTGAAAAACATGGATTTTCAGTCTGAAAGTGGCCTAAAAGTGTTTTATGCAAAAGTTAAATTTTCTCCTTCCTCCTTTACATTACCTCTGACCAACTTCTTCATGAACACTGATAAAAAGCATTGCCACAGCCTGATGCTGCCACCATCATGTTTCATTATTGTTTTTTTGGTTTTCCCAGTTATAAAAAAAAAAAAAAAAGAGCAAAAAATAAATTTAAACAAACATATTGCAACCCTGGCTTCTTCTCACCTCAAAGGCCATAATTTGGAAGTTCACAACTAATTCTCCTTTCGACACCCTACCAAAGCTGTAGATCTTTACTCTTCCTGGGTTACCATGGGATAATTGGGTGTCTTTCTCATTACTGCTCTCTTTGTCTGCAGTTTGGGCAGATTCCCATGTGTTTTTAATGGTGAAATGGTGAGTCCTGTTTAGGGCTTCATCAGTTTGAAGGACCTCAAACCACTTTACACTTCATTTAGTCATTTACATTCACACAAAATGGTGGTGAGCTATGTCATAGCCACAGCTACCCTGGCGCTCATTGACAGAAGTACGCAATCCAGGTTAAGTGTGTTGCCCAAGGACAAAACAATTGAGACAGATAGAGCTACGGTTTGACCCGGCAACTTTCCAGTTGCAGGACATTCTCCTGCATCCTACACCACCTATTCAAACCTGTTTAGAAAAAAAGTTTTAATATTTAAATATGTTGAAGTCTGAAGTTTAAAATGGCATTCTTATTTTTTAGATTTTATTAAACCCCTGACATATTGATATAAAACCTGTTTTAATCAAATTGAACACAGGTGAACATTAACTTAATCATAACTTGTTACATTAAATATTATGTAGTGGTATGATAGTTAAGAGAGTTGCATACAAATGCATTTTTTTACTTTGTTTAACTTTAAATAAATTATAATTACATTATTATTAATGGTGTAAGATGACAAATATAAAAAAAGGCATGTGAAGTTTCAGGTTTGGAAGCCACTGTATGTCAAAGCAATAATGATAATACTGTAAATATGGGTGAGAGAGAGGATAAACATGAGCTGTTTGAGCAAGAGATTGTATCCGGCTTCATCCCGCTTTGTTTGCTGTCCTGTTTGTTTGCTTGTTTGTTTATTGAGTGTATGCACGTCAGCGGCTGCCAGCCTATGCTCACTTGGCAACCCATGAATGCTTAATGGTTATTCTACCCCACCTCTCTGAGAAAAGATGACCCTGCCCATGTTGCCACTGACAGTATCTCATAGAAGATCAGTAATTACCCTCTGAAATCACTCACAAAATAACTGTGCCCTCCTTCGTATTAAAATGCTGAGATCTGAGCCTTTATCGATTTGAGGCTGGACTTTCTATCCTTCACTTTTTGCTGTGTGAAAAAGGCAGCAGCAGTTGCACACAGGCTGTGAGTGACATGTGATGACATTAACTTGAATTCCCTGTCTCAACGCATCATTTGAGGTTCATTCAGACGGTTCAAGATTGCCTTTTTGCTAAAGCTGTTTTGAGTTCTTTTATTTTTTTTTCTCTCTCTCTCTCTCGTCTGAGTGATTTGCTTCGACATCAGCTCTGATTAAGAGATGAGCAACAGCCTTAATAGAGAATAACACTGAAAAAGCAGTGCGCAAAGTGACAAACAGGCTCTCACTCCTCGTTTAATTTCTATTTTCATGTTATTGTGCAGAATGTTTCTTGACATTTCATTTTGGGCTGAATTGGATTTTTTTAAGAAGCAAATGATTCATATGCACCGGCATCATTGAATGGGGAAAAAATCCCCTTGACCTGATAATTGTGCAGATTGTGAAGCAAATGCATGTGAAATGCTTTTTGTTTTTTGTTTTATTTTCATTACAGACATGATTCCCAGAGTCTCAAATGCATCAGTCAATGTGGAAAGCTGGGTCATTGCAACCTTTGGTATCAGCTCATAATCAAAAATTGTTGTTGTGTTTGTTCCTGCAGAGCTACAAGAGGAAAACAGAGGCTGCTAAGAAGGAGTACCTGAAAGCCCTGGCCGCCTACAGAGCCAGTCTGGTTTCCAAGGTAACAGCGGGGGTCACATGTTTGATATACATGGGTCAGCTGCAATATAAGGGATAATAAATTAGACAGAATTCCGCTCTTATTCCTATAAAAAGCTTCACGAAATCCAAAGAATGTTTAGTGCATCTTCCTGTAGACATATACAAATGATTATAGATATGAATCTAATGCAAATTTTACTGTCATTATGTAAATATGTAAATACATTTATGAGTGGAGGTAAAAAAAAAAAAAAAGAGAAAGGCTGTATGTGTGCTTAAAAGAAAACAGGGTAAATTAGGCCTAAGACACACCTCAATTTGTAACCTGGGGAGAAATAAAAAGTAATAGTGCAAGTCTACGGGCCTGCTTATCAGCATGCATGTGTAAGAGCAGGAGTGGACATTACCTGTCATTTGCCATCCTCCTGGTGCTTGCTTCTTCCCTGTTGAGCTGCTAATGTGTTGGCTGAGGTTTGCTCACATCCTATTCCCTCACTGTGAAGCAGTTTAAAGTCAAACCATTAAGATTTTCTTCTATCTGTTTGTTTGAAAAATACCAACCCCACATACAAAGCTTGGAAGCAGTTAAAGAGCTCTCTGAACTTCATTTCATATCTGTCTCCATATTGTTCTTCGTATTCAAACCTTAATTACATTAGCATATGCCAAGCTCCTCCTCCTCGCGCTCTCCAGTTCTCCTCCCCCGAATGGGACGCCACACTTCCTCCTTCGCTCATGAGCAGAAAACAAGCACCTTGATTAAGGCATGAATAGTTAATTCATCAGCCTCTTCACTCTGCCATACTTTCTTCTCAAAAGACTATTCTCATCTCTTGTCTTTGGTGCGATTACATATTCAGGGTATCCTATGCAGAGGCTTGATTGATGCCATATGATGGTAGTTGGAGAGTCAAAAGAAAAAGAAAACCTGTCAGACAAAAATAAACATGCAAACCTTCACTGTCTCTCATTCAGGAGAAGCCACTCTAACTGAATGACTGAAGCTCATCCTTCAAAATGACTTTTTTTTTTTTTAGAAATTATAGATGAAGGACTCTTTTCAGAGTGAATTGGAGTTGGTGGAATTGGAGGTAATTAGAGGATCATTTCAAGGATTTACATCCTGTGTGTGCACCTGTTGCCCTTTTGTTTTGTGACATTTGTTAGTTTATATAAGAGGAAAAGAAAAAAAGAAAGTTTGATTGCAACTCACTAAATAGCATTGGCCCTTCCCTTGTAGGGAAATAAAAAAAAAGGGGTAACATTGAAAGCGTGGACTGAATTTTAAAAATAACCTGACTTTTTTTTATTTTTATTATTATTACAGTGTCCTGTCTGGCAAGGTGGCAATAAGAATAATTGTCTTGATGCCAAAAGGAGCCCAACAGATTTTACTTTCACAAGTGTAGCGGTATGGATATTGCCATACTGCTCCACTTGTTTCATGCATATAAATTGCTTTATTATAATTATGCAGGGAGTTTTACAGTTTATATGGACACTGCAATGTAAGTAGAGCAGAAAAACAGAAGAAGAAAAAAGAAAAAGAAAAAAAATTACAGACAAAAGATGAAAGAAAGAGGAGATAGAAAGGAGACATTGACAAAACATTTTCAGTCTGCCTGACTTTTAGCGTAGACAATCTAGAGTCCATCTACTATAATACACAATCGTTGTCTATCCACTTAAAAATGAGCTTCAACAAATAACACCCATCATCTCATTCTTCCCCTCCTCCATTCACCTCTTTTCTTCCTTATTTCATTTTCCACTTGACCCCTGAAAATGTGCCCGTTCCCCTGCTTATCCGCTCCTTCATATCGTTCCATTGATTATTTGAGGGATTTGGCTGGATGGATGGGAGCCATTACTAAATAACAGACCACCCCACATCACTCCAGCAAGTCTGACCACTAATGAGAAACAGTCCATGTGTTTCATACGTACACGTGCACCTTCCACAGGCAAAGGAAAGGAGAGGGACAGACCTAGTGAATGAATGTTTATGTTTGCAGCTCAGTGCCACGGTAGATGGGTGCAGTAAATAAATAAAGAATATATAAATAATAAAAGGACAGAACTTAACACTGTGAGCTCCTTAATTTAGAGTAAAAATTTCATGGTGTGATTTCTAAAGCACTCAAATGCAGCGACTGATTTTGACAGAAAAAAAAGACCTTTAAAAATAAAGGGAGTGCAGGACATGGAGCATGATCTGGAGAAAACAAAAGTGAGCACTAAAAAGCAAAAAAAAAATCTATACTGTAAAGAATGGTATTGGATGCAGGTGAGCTGATCAGGGGAATTAGGAACAGCTGTGGAGGAAGGAAAATCGGTAGAATGGGGGAAGGGAAATAATTAACCACAGTTTGGGAAAAAATGATAAAAACATATAAAATGATGAAAATATAAATGCAATGAAGGAAATCTGCTATTTTCTGTCAAAACCACAGAGTGCAGCTTCGTTTTGTTTAGCTTAATACATTGTGTGTCTTCTGACTCGATTTCAAACTTTAATAACACTATGACCCCAAAGCAACAGTTGGCTGATAGTGTAATGGTTAGCAGATTCTGCCTGTCCAGAGTTAACAAATATAGTTTGTTTTCAAAAATAGTGCAAAAATAGATTATTTTTAAAAGTTATTGTAATCAACATCAAATAAATTATTTGTAGCAGATAAATCTAAAATTAACCAAAAAAAGTAATTAGAGTACGTCTAATTAGTCACAGCTGCAGCCTTATCAGGGTAGCAGGAAGCTATCAAAATTAAATTAGCTATCAAGTCTCTGTAAACTATTTGTACTAAATAAAGGAAAAACAAAACAAATAGACCTTTTTCGAGTAATAATTTTTTGCTTAAAAGAAGTCTGTCTAGAGTCTCCTGTCAAGAATTAAAAGACTTTAAGGCAATTTTTGAAATAATGAGGTCATTAAATTCTTTGTCACTTATGATGCTGGTCTGGATTCTTTCAAAGGGGGTAAAAAGATTCTTCTATTTAAAAAAAAAATTTACGTCTTTGCACTGAGTCAGAATAAAGTTTTCTTTTTTCCCGTTTTATATAACCTCATATGAGTAGCTGATATAGCTGCTATTATGTAGCCAACAGGAATGCCAGCTACTTGTAAAACAAAAAAAGCAATTGCATAGATTGAACAAACCACTGGATGAGGATATACACAAGAATAGTTATTTTGTTTTTTTTACACACTCTGAATACATATATGTTTTTTTGCAGTAACTATAACACAATGCAGAGATGATGATAATGTTAATTCAGTCAGCAGAATGCATCTGAACTTAGAGTACAGTATACGCTAATAAAGGAGTATCTCCTGCAGTAAATTATATGTAATGAAATACAGTTTGCTTCGTGTGATAAGTTATTTGAAAGCTAACACCTTCTAGTTTCTGAATATATACATGAAAATTGGCTGACTAAAACCCTTTTGTTTATTTTATTGTGAAAGTATTTTTACAGTGGTTGTTATCACTGTGACTGAGTGTGTTTTGTTTTCCTTTCAGACATATAACGACCCTGGGGAGACTAAAACTGCCCAAACAAGTCAGGCTTCTCCTCATATGATGCCAACCAACTCGCTGTACAGCGTGCCACCTCCCCCACAGCCGTCATCGCCATACCTAGGACCGGGGGCCTTCCCTCTTACCGACCTGCAGAGCTACGCAGGACACGCCCCTCGCCACACGCTGTCACAGACGCTCAGCCAGTCGCCGATGCTGCCCAGCATTAGTGCCTCTCCCCCTTCCTCCTTCCAGATCAGCCCACCGCTTCACCCACACCAGCAGCTCTCTCTGCACCAGAGCTCGCTCCTCAACCAACCCATCCGCATGCAGCAGGTCCAGTCTCAGCCAATCATCTCCCATCAGATGGGGCTACAGGCCTCTCTTCACTCTCCACCTCCAGGGCAGCAGGTAGAAATAGATTGAGACATTTGTTGATGTGAGTGTGATGAGGTGTCTACTCAGGGGTTTTGCTTCAATTTTTCTGAATTATGTCCTTCAGGGTTTTTCTCACCTCCAGTCAGAGTACCAGAAGAGTATTGGAGGTTCCCAGTCTCCAGGAGCTCCTGGCTCTGGGCCAGGTCCTGGAGTGGCTCAGAACCACGAGTGGGATGGAGAATACTGCAATCGGGAGTGTGGCAACCACTGCAGGTCAGTGTAGATACAGGAGCTGATGCAAGTGGTAATCTTACAATGATCCACCTCAAGAACTTTTTATAAAGCAGATTTATTTTTTACCAATTTTCTACAGTAAAAGTTGTACACCAAAAGTCTGTTATCCAGACACTACAATAAATTGGAATATTTTGAATGGATAAGTTATAATTCACATCAAAATAGAAAACTCAAATAAATGCATTCATTCATTCATTACACACTGATTATTTCATGTGTTTTTCTGTTAATTTTATGATCATTGCTTATTATAGCAACATAAAAACTCAAATCTAGTTAATCAGAAAATTTTTATGTTACATGAGAGGGATAAAAAATGGTTTAAAGCTGTATATCTGTATCCTCTTCAAGAGACTTTAATCTAATAAATTGTTTATTTAATATATATACAACTGAGAGCTGGAGACCCCAAGCCTGCACAGTCATAAACGTAACTTTACTTAAAGATCATTGACAACTGAAGGATATCTAATTGAATCCATTCCAGGATAGCTGGAGCTTCACAAACTATTTTATCCAAGAATATTTCAAGAAAATATAATGGGGTGCTGGAAGTGTTTGAAGAAGGTCTGTGCATTCAGAGATACCCAGAATACGTGTTTCCATCACCCTTTTATTTTGTTAATTTTGAAGTATCCCATCAGAGGAGCTTGATAGAATTGGTAAAATTCGAATTAACTTACAAACATGTTCTAGAAAAGTTTTTAAGTTCACTTAAGCTGGTTTTTGCATTTTCCAAAAAAGCGATAATGTGCTAAAGAGGAGATGGAAACAAGATCTCACATGACTGATGAGTTTTTTCCGCCTTTGCTGGCCTCCTGAATGCAGAATTAGAATCATATTTCTCTCTCATTGTCTCCAGATTGCATGAACCATCGCTAATATTAGCCTACATGATAAAGTGAGTAAGACTTGCCTGATTGGAACACATTTGTTAAAACCTTGCTCCATTGCTGAGCTTTGTGACTTTACTTCCTTTTTACTAAAAGCAAGCGTAACATCAACGAATCAAAACATTACAATTTGCACCGCCACGTTAAATCGCTCCATTGGATGGAGACATGTCCAAATTGCATTTTCTTTTTTTTCTTTTCTTTAAAGCTTTAAAAGATTGGTCAACATTCCCACCGCATTTAGTTAGAAACATTACTACAGGACTTTTAAGGATGGTAAAGCAAAGGCCAATAAATAGTTTGGATGGTGTCAGGGCAAATTTTTTTATTTTTATTTTTTTTTACAGGCAGACATATCCAGTATGTTGGCTAAAACTCTTGCTTTCCTTCTATTAAGCCAGTCCTGAAACCCAATGATACCAGGAAAAAAAGGCTTCCCTCCCTTTGGGTTTTATGGAGATTATTTCGTTTTCCACCAACACTTATGCTCAGACCAGCAGCACCAGTATTTGCTTTAAAGCCAAAGGCTCCAATGGGTTTATATTATCAAAAAGAAAAAAAAACAAATCACCTGAAGAAACTTTTTGGGGATTTGATAAACACAAAATCTGTTGTTTTGTGCTCATAAGACCAAAATTATTGGCATGTTTGTAAGCTTTAAGTGTTAAAACAATAAAAAAAAAAAAAAAAAAAACTCCTGATTTTACATTGAAATCAAAGTATTTTTATTTTCTTTTGTTATAAATATGTTCTCTTTAGTTATCTTAGCGACTTTGTTATGCTTTTGATTTAATTTATTTTTCCCCTGGTTCTTGTTGTGTTACAGTGGAAGCATGATAGGCAGGGACAAGCCCCTCTACCTCACCTGAAACTGAAGATTATCCTCTGCTGACAAATGATGACATCGAGGAGTCGACCCGCTCTGTTTTCCTCACCCAGCCCCAACCTTCTCCCTCTTACATCCAGTGTACCTTGACATACAGCCAGATACATAAACAAACACATTCAGATTCCTATAAACTGTCACCGACAACGTTTTTGTTTTTCATAATTAATGTAATCATTATTTTTCGCAGTTTCTAGAATTTGTGAGCAGTTTTTTGACTAGATGACTACTGTCTGTACAACTTATTGTATTAATGGTCTTCTTGCTGTTTAAATTTGCCAAGCACTTATAAAGCCTCCCCTCCCTCTTCCTCCCTGCCCTCACTCATCACCTCCTCAGTTATGTGTCTGAGCCCTCACCGACGTGGGCTGTGGAGCGCCCCTCTTGTGTGCCACCATCAAAACGAACCCCTAGGGATCCCATCCAGCTTTAAGTAGAATAAGAAAAAACGTGTTTTTCCTTTTTCCACCCATTTTGTAGTTTCATTTCCTTTTTGTTGATGTTTCTGTCTTATTTATTTCAAGCTGGCTATTTTTTTTTTTCAGTCTTCTTTTTTTTCATTCTGTTTCTAGTAAGCAATGGGCCCTGTATCATAGAGAAATATTAACTCCTAGTATGTTGAGCATAGGCCTTGATGTTATGGTAGCTGTGCTTACGGGCGACAGATTAAAAGCTTGGTGGGGAATAGGACAGAAAAAACGAAGAAAATCTTTTTTATTATTAATAAAGACCTGTAGAGGTCTACTGAGCTGTCACAGTGTGATTGTAAATATCACTTTTGTGGAATTGAATTGGAAATTAAAAGTCCAGATAGATTTGTTCCTCTAAAAGTACATGTATGTTATTGTATGTGTGTATGAGTGCATCTGGACGTTAGAATGTACCCCATTCATGACGTGGCATAAGTGTGCGAGCAGAGGACTAGTAAGTGCGAGTGTCTCGTTCTTTGAGTCTTGTCAATTTTAACAATCCCATACAATTGAAATTCAGAGGACTATTTCACACTTTCACTCGTGCATTAAATCTGTGCTCACGTCTGTGTTGTTATTTTACAGACAAAGTTTAATCTGAAACTGAATACACAATATATGTCCTGCAGATCATTAAACCGAAAGGAGCAAGAAGAGAAACAGAGAGCGCAGAGGCAGGATAGAAAGGCTGTGAGATGAAATGAGATGTAAAGTTTCAGATAGGGAAGTCGGAGGTGGGGGGTTATTGACTCAAAATGCCCACCCCTCCCATCTTTTGTTTAGCTATCCCACTGTTATGTCCATGTTGTCCCCTAACCATGCAGGAGGGGGAGACCTCCAACATGTGAACACCGCAAGTGATTTTTTTTAAATAAGTTTCTGGTTCGTGTTTGGTTGTGTTTTTAACTTTTGTGTGATTAACGGAAAATGCATTTTGCTGACAAAGACATCTCGTTTTGATCTCCTTTCGTGTAGCAGAATTTCAGTTTTAGTCGCCGCAATACAATAACATTTTAAGTTGTGTAAAAAAAAATACAAAACCAACAAGAAAAAAAACAAACTGCCAATTGTAGTTATTTTATTTGTAAAACCAGTAATGATAAATATTTGAAATGGTTATTCCTACATTGTTTGGAGTTTTCTTTGCGCGCGTTAGCCATCAGCTGTTTGACAGGTTTTCTTATTTATAAAAGAAATGAGATCCCTTTTGCTTCTTACAATGGAGGTGTATTTTTATTCTTATTTTATTGTTTCCTGCTTTGGTTTGATAAATAATAATGATGACGATCACAATGATGATTTTGTTGGTTATTTTTTTTATATATATATATATTTTAGATGCTGCCTTTTTTTGTCTTTCCTTGCCAGCAGCATCACTTTCTGTCATAATGCTTCTTTTATTTCAGACCTGCATAATAAAGAAAAAAAGTTCAAAAAGTGAGCCCGACATATGTCATTTTATTCCCCACAGACATATTTTCTTCCTCTGTCCTCTTCTCCAATTAGACAATCACACCTTTTATTGAAGACCTGATAATAGCTGTCGTAAAGGGAGAGATTCACCCCCAAATCTCTTCTGCACTTTATATCCATACTTAAGAGGGGTCACATTTTGTCTCACATATTTATATTTAAACTTACTGGCATTAGCTAATTAACCATGGATGGATACAATCTTCAGCAGCCAGCATGGATATTGCCAGTAAACTATTTCAACAAATGGGAGCAGATGCGAGGAGACGTTGTGCTTATGCTTGTGAAAGTAGTGCATCGTAGGCGTCTAGTCTGAGATAAAGAGAACAGGAAAAAAAATGCAATGCACATACAAACTCAGGCAAGGATCCAAGTGCTGATTTTACCCCAAATGCACACGAGTCTTCTTAGAGACTTCATGAAAGAAAGCTAGCAGAGACTGAAGAGATTGAAATGAAACTGTCGCGATCATCTCATTCGATGTTTTATTCATTTTACGCCTGCCTGCCGTCTCTTCTTCGGTGGCATTGAATTGGCAAATAGATCATTATTGGACAATTGGAAAACCCACCACTTTGTGATATGACACACATTATACGAAAATCACAGTCATACATTCTTAATGCAGTGTCAAATAAGAAGGGGTTTGGACACAGCCACACAGGCTCGGCTCTGTGCCTTTTATGTACATAAATGAATATTTTCCTATGTGAATCTGAGTGTTTTCTTTTTTTGTTTTTGCATGTAGCCTCTTTTCTTGAGCTTTATGTATAAAAAAAACTGAGGTTACCAAAAGTTTTTACTTATTTTACAAAAATGTATATATGTGCTCCACCATCTCAAGCCATACCTTAATTGTCTATAATATTTTAGTAAATACTGCAAAGCATCTTTAATGCCTTTCTTCAACCCTAAGCCGAAGTCATGAGGCTGAGCATAATAAAAAAGGAATTTTGCTCAGATAGATTAAGTTAGTTGTTAGACAGATTTATTTAGCGAATTACAATAAGTATATGATATATAAATAAGTACATGAGTATCAATTTTAAAGTGCCATACTACATTTTAAACATGTAGAAAATATTATTTTATTTATTTGCTATTTTTTAAATGTGCTGCTCTGAACATGAGTAGGCTACATTAAGAGTCAAAGAATGCTAGTATTAGATAAATATTGATGCAACATTTCATTACTGCCTTGGGCTGCATTGCTATGCGCTCGCCATGAGCACTTAAAAAAAGAAACAATTATCGTCTGTTTTTTTCAAACTGATTTTCTGTTGCTTAATTCCATGTCTAGTCAATTGAAGGTGGGTGCTTCCTGTATTGTGCATGTGTGTCAGCATTACAGGAAAATGCTGACACACACTGTGCCTAGCTAATGACAGTAAAGTTGGTTTCTGATTTATATATGGCGCTACATTGAACAGCTTGTACTGTTCAAAGAAATTTGTACTCTGTTCTATTTTTACACCATTTGGTCATTCCTATTAAAAAATGAAAAATATACAGAAACAACCAAACCTAAACAGTACAGTTCTTGACTTTCCAGATGTTCTTTAAAGATAACTTTGAATTCATTAAACTTTTTATATCAATTTTGGGATATTGGAAAAACAAATATTTCTATTAATTTCTACATCAGGATTAAATAAGATAGGCCATGTGATGTATTCAACGCTGACTATTTTACACTGATTATAGTGGATATTTTTACTGCACAGTAAAAACATGTTTTTTTCCCCAGAATTTTTAATAACTTAGTTAAAATTTTTGACATACGGTACTAAAAATTGATACACAAAACAAATTGCATTATCAAAACTAATCCTAATATTTTATTCTTAATATGATAAGAGTAAAAATAAAAGGCATTTTTTCATTAATTCCATAAACTGTGGGGATATAGTTACATAAACTATAACGCACACATGTATAAAGAAGAAAATTGCATTCTTAAGTAATTTACAGTTTTTGTTTTATTGTCATCAAGCAATTGCAATAACTGCCAAAAAGTACCTTTAGATTGTGGGAATAAGCTATTGCATACCACTCTCTGTGGAAAATATTTCATTCCACGGGATTAGAGGGTTATAAATAATAACTATTCAAGACAAAGTTCTTTTGGAACATAAGATAGTGTAGTCTTGTTTTTAAATCACATCATTATACTTGAAAAACTCTTTTTTTTTTCTAGATTGCTCTGCATCACTTTCCTGCAGAAGAAAGTCAGGTATTCTTCAGATTAAGATACAAAATGGAAAGATGTACAGCCGAGAAGCAATTATATAAAATCGGCTCATCAAATTATGGGAATAAAAATCTCTATCTCCTGTAATCAGCATTTTGATTTTCTCTTTCCAGGACTTGTGAGAGGTAAAAACAATGAACATAGTTAGATGTATTTATTTATTTTTTAAATATCAGGTGGTAAGCGCATAAATTGTTAAACCAAATGTAAGTCAACAGTTTGAACTCTAAATGCACTAAAGCTATCACATTCACCCAAAACCTTTTCTTACTTGCAACTTTGATGGCGCAACAGAGAACCAAACGGCAGGAAATGTGGGCGGTTGTGACAAGAAACGAGTATCGCTTTGTCTTCCGAATCAGTTAGGGTTTCTTTTTTATGCTGAATGTACAGCATATAATTAAAAGATTTAACATTAAATAATCCAGACACAACAAAGGTAATCTATGGCATTGTTTCTGGAATACAACACAAGATAGGGTCCTTACAAGAGATTAAATGACAGTAAATCTATATAAATCCTTTCAGTAGGAACAAACGGTCATAATTTATTGGAATTGTTTGCTGTCTTCATTTTCTTGCACAAAATAAAACAGCAACCAAACAAAGCACAACAAACATAGGCATTGTTTTGGCAGAAGCAATTGTGGTTTCACACCTGTAGATATTTACGTAATCCAAGTACTTGCCGTGTCAGCTTTTAAAACCATTAGTTTCTCCTTTTGGTGGCCAAACTATAAGCAGCTCCTACTTTAGTGATAAAACATTTAAACTTCTTCAGATTAGTGTCAGAACTTAGCTGTTCTTTTTTTTTTTTAGCTTATAATTGTCTCCATGAATCATTGTGAAACATCAGGTGATGGAGAATTTCTCTCTATGACTTGAGCCAACCCAATTTAAATTTCTCAATATCAAACTACCAACACTGTAAGATAAGTACAATCATATGAAGCAGTGCATTTAGAGTCACCTCTCTGAAGTGATATATGTACAGATTTAGTTGTATAATTGTGATTTACAAATACATGTAAGTTTGGACATTTCAGTCATATAATTTATAGGCTGTTTACATTTCAACTTGTAGTTTTCCTCTCAAAATGACACAAGTCATAAATATAATCAAATGCTTTATATTCTTTGCAGATTTAGGAAGATTGTGGTTGTGAGTATGAGGACAAGGGTGTCATGCAGGTAAACTTCTTAATCAGAAGTGAAGCCCCCCTTCCACACGTCAACCATCATATTTGCCTGGCGGCTTAATGGGACAGGAGTCCTCATCACCACAGAGAACCTCTCTGACTAAGAGCTAAAATAAAGAAGCCACACTTTTCTCACACCTCAGCAGTTCTTAAATCTAGACTTAAAGTGCAGTTGAGTCAGAGTGAGAACCACACACATAACCATTTTCTCATAACCCCCTTCAGTCGTCTGTGAAAGGCAGGTCTCGTTATGCTCTGGATCACCTCACAGCAGAGCCGCAGAAACATGACTGGCCATACGTAGTCATTTTAAATGTTTTTATACACCACAGCTGCTCTGTTTGAGCAATATCGCCCACACACGCTGCACCTCAGATCCTCTGATAAGTGTGTGATGGAGAGAGTTTGTGAAACAAACGTTTCTGTTATTGAAATGAGATTCTGCTCCAGATGTCTGGGATTGAAGGGTTGTTATGAGATAACGCTGTTAGTTACTTGGGAAGTTAGGTTTTTGTCTCTGTCATGCATATCGCATGTAAATGTTTGAATTAGCCTGAAGATCAGATTGGGAACAGATTCAGCTGAATGTAGTGCAGCGTGTTGGCATGTTTTATAATAGACAGTCCTACCATTTGGCTGGCAAAATAAGATCCTTGTTCTTAAAATCAGTACCATAGCAACCAAGCTGTGGAACCAGCTTTGCCAATATACAGCAAGTATAACGTATCAGCCTAACACACCTTACTTTTTAATTAAAGAAATAGTATATGAAGAGAGGTGATTGGATATTTTCAATGTTTATTTTTAAAAATGAATAATGTTAGATTAATACAGTTGGGATTTTGTATGACACATGACACAACTTGGAAAACTATTTATGTGTGTAATAAAACAAAGTATTGTTTTTTAAAACTGTGTTACAAACACATATACGAAAAATGAATGCTTTGCTATTTCCCTTCCTTTCCTCTAATACTCATTGATAAAAATGTTTCCACTTTCAAAACCAAAGACGACTTAACATGACTTTGAGTGTAGGCCAGAAATAATCAAGCCAGCTTTAAAAGCATTGAAAAATATTTTTTATGCAATGTGGAAAGCTGGGTCTACCACTTAGCTAAATAATGATACTT